AACGAGTTGATGGTACGTAATAAAATGTTCAAAAAAATAAAACGATTCCATTTACATTCAGTGCCCGCAAAACGTTTTATTTATTTAACGCATAACGTACAAGCACATCCTGTGTAATCGTGTGAACTCGAATATGAAATCGTTGTACACCTGTAATGCAATAGTTGCACCGACCGTTGGAAACTCTATATTATTATATATCTTATATTATTATTCATCATTACGTGATTTACAATATTATGATCCTATGAATATTGCAGAATATCTAATTTGCGAACGGACGATCGCCGATAGCCGGCACGCACCCGTGACGGATTTGGTCCAGTCTTGACCGGTCCGCGATATTCCGTTATCCATTTCGTTCACAATAATCCTTTTGTCCCGGATTAAACGCGGCTCGAAGGTCGAAACTATTTAACCTTACAAAACGCGACAACGGCGTAACATCAAATTAAAATATTAAGCTAAATTAATAAAATATTAAAACCGTACACCGTTACACTAGCCTAACCTACACTGAAAACAATGTAAAACACGTTGTTCTAAACATTAATCGTTAACCATTGTGACAAATGACAAACACAATGCATGAAATATTACAGTGTTAATTTTTATAACAGCAGAACATAATAGCTCCCACAACGAGAGCTGACTTTAAAATTGAATTTTTCACATTTTATGTCTACTTGGGATAAAACGATTTATAACCACGGTGACGTTATCAATAAAGTACAATATTTATGGGTGCGGAATATGTTTCGAGTATTGCAGTTTTAACGGGATAAAACATAAAAAAATAGTTTTGTTAGTGAAATAAATTTTATTTATTTACAGGATTGTATGAATGGTATTTTGTTTTTTATGAATTTTTGAAATAAAATTATATATCTGAATAAAATCTCAAGAGTTCATTATGACCTAAATATTTATAAAAATATCACAAAAATGAATTCCATTTTTTATTGTACGTAATGAAATTAAATAAAAGCAAAGTTAAATATATGGTTTCATTGTAATTTTTCATATTTCTGCAAAAATACCATATAAGATAAATTAAAACCCACGCAAAATCGAAATAAAAAGTAAAAATAAATTCATTATAAAACACAAGAATTACATTTTTCAATGTGCTAGAAAGTGTGATTCAAACAAAAAAATAATACACTAAAGCGTTAAATTTCGAGTAAAGTTATTGCAACTTAATGTAATGTTTGAATTTATAAACACATGACATTTTAATTAATATATTTAAGCTATGATGTATGAAAAAATTAACATAAATTTAAATGATTTCATCCAAAAATATTTATCGTTTTTTTTTTCTCGAACCAGAGCAATTCTAATAGTGTCTTTATTCTTAATCTTTTATTTTCTTGTTAACATTTGTTTAAATACTGAATCTAAATAACCTGAATCGAAAGTGTTAGGTGATCACTTTTTTAATAAGAATTCAGATTAGGATTTTATTCAGAACACGGATATTTATTGATTTTTCTAAATTTTTCATTATGAAATAAAATTGAAAAGTTGGAAATAATGTTAAATTTAGTCCGGCTGTAATAGGCATTGAAGTTTTGCCGATGAAGTAATTGTTTTGTATTGATTTCATTATCTTATCTTATTCAAGAGTATCGTATTTTACTTCATGTTAAAAATTAATAAATACAATTGTTAAATGGAGAATTAGTGATCGAAAAAAATTATATGATTATGGTTTGTACAAATAATATGTTATTTGAAGCCTCGGGTAAGGGAAAGATGGGATTTTTCAAATTAAGTCAAACACGTTAAACATAGTCTTATTATTAAAATCTAGTCCAGATTATTTTTAATCGTAGTACATATGAATAATACTCGTTTAAAGGGTTAAATTTATTTTACTTAAAAAAGTCCTATTGGTATTATTATTATTATTCCGAAATGGTAATAAATAAAACTCAATAAGCTACGAGTAAACGTAAACTAATATAAATTTTATATTCATGTGAAAAATAATTATTAATCAAGCTCTCAATCGATAACGTCAAGTCACGTGTGCTGAGCTGCGATAATAAGTTGATAATAAATTAGACGTGCATGATTCATAATTGATTATTTATATTAAACATAATTGCGATTAATTAGCTCTTTGGTTATCTTACAAACTCGGTATATTTCAATGAAATCGCATAATTTATTTTATTAATAATTGATTATAGATCCTAATTGTACCATCGACGAGCCGTTAATAACTAATTGATGCGTTATCAATTCAATTTAATGTAGTATAATGCTATTCAATGCTAAAACGAAATAAATATGAATAAAAATAAGTGAAACGATACCATTTACTTATCAATATTACTATGATTCTTTTTCTTCGTCTAATTAAATATTCTAATTATGATATTATATATATATATATAAGATTATATAAATATTAGACACCCCGTGTTTAATAAAATCAAGTATTCTAACACTATTCAGAAAAGAAAAAAGAAAAATAATGTATTGCATATTTTACGCGTTTGCCATAGAACATCTCATCTATCCATGTATGTTATTACTAGGGCTCGGATTTCAATGCATTTGCATCTTTTTTTTTTGGGATGTCTTACGCGATGCTTTCCAAACTATAAATTTGTTTCAGGTACTCCGTGTTCTACCCACAAACATTTTTTGCATTTTTAGCGGATTTTATACTTTTTAAAGCATTTTTTGACGTTTTTAATGTATTTTTTTTATATTTTAGGACATTTTTTACCTTTTTCTCGTATTATGACTAACTTCAGTTGATATCGAGAGATCATTTTCAGTATATAAAAACTTATTGGCAGATAATCGTCGATCATTCAAATTTCAAAACTTAAAAGAAATACTAATCGTACAGTGCAATTCAAATATGTAATTTAATTTTTAATTCAATTTTTGATTTTAATTATTTTTTTATTTTTGTAATGTAATGAAAATAGAATTTCTTTTTTTACTCATTTTTTAATATTAATTTGAATTTATTTAATAAATGATTAATTTTTTGATATTTTTAGGGCATTTTTTAAAGATTTTAGGTCATAAATGCATTTTTTGAAAGGGCATTTTTTCGATATTTTTAGGGCATTTAAATCCGAGCCCTAGTTATTACGTATGTTATGTAATAACTAAATTCATTCTATGTACATTATATACGTTTTAGCGGCGACCACCACGTCCGATCTCGATTCTGTCGGATAAGCAGGTGCGCGAAATAATATTGTGTAAACGATTTGTCGCCGAACACAGCGGTCTGGTGCTGGACAGTCGTCGTCGACCGTCGTCGCGGACCGCGTTTCGGCGCGTCGAAAAACAAAATAATACACCGTCATCTGCAAATTCGCAGATAAAAAAAAAATCGATGGATTTAATTAGCGTATAAAAAAAAGTACAGTTAAATCAAGTTAAAAATATTAACTCGATATTAGATTGAGTATTAGGTGTAATCGATTTTCCGATAAAAGTGCTTTTCTTGTTCGTTGTTGTATGGAGTTTATGTTAAATACTGTAAGTCTGTCCAGCATATTTACTACGAGCCGCTACCGGTCGGCACGTCGACGAACAAAACAATCGCGCGTTCCGCCGCCGTTGGGGGGGGGGGGGACACGGGCGGTATCCGGAAAAAACGGAATGCTTACGGACGCGTACGTGCGGTGCTTATGGGTTTCGCGGGAAGCTACCGGGAGGTGAACTTTTCGCAGCCTCGCGGGGGGGGGGTGCTGCGGGAGTGGAGCAGCGCCACCGCGGACGCGTTCCCCTACGCGAACGCAAAGTCGTGCACCGTACGAATTTCGAGTGCGTGCCGAAAGGCGTCCCTTTCCCGTGCACCTATGGTTTTCGTGCGCGACGGTCTGCGCGGCGATAAATACAAAACTACCCCGCCGGCGCACGCCCGCGATCCCGTTGCACCCCGGGTCGTAACGATTGCCGGGAACACGCGCGCGATCCCGAACTTCTGTGCGACCGTGAGGTTTTTCACCGGAAACCGGATCAACGGATCGATTCTCACGTCCCGCGCAATGGACCGTTGCGAACCGAACGGTCGAATCGGCCGGAACGCTAAAAACGGTACGGGCGGCTCGGTTTACCGTTTGCGATTTCGTTTGCCGCTGCGCAAACCGCTGTCCCCGTAAACGTTATTGTTTCGGGCTTGCCGTGCACTCGTAACCGGCGCGCGCCGCGTACGGCGAAAACGAGTTTTCAGGCGAAAAACTCGTGTAGCGTTTCCGTTTCGTAATCCGTTCGACGGGTTCGCCTCCAAGAGAGCACTTCCGACGGGGACGGTCCCGCTAAACACCAAACGGACAACGCGTTGTCGTC